GTACCTCTTTCAGCGTTTCAACTTTGATAGTGGGAGGTGCCACAAAGCTACAACGAGAGAGCTCTCCGAGGTGGCTTCAAACCAAGCCCCGCAAGTGCACTTTGCCTACTCGCTTATAACCGTGTTAGGGCACTTGAAGGGGCTTACAAGTGGGTGATAAGTACAGTTAGAATTGGCTCATAAGTACCATGAACCTCCAACTTCTCAGTGTCACACGAGAACTCCGACTGGCATCCTCTGAGGCAGTGCAGAGCGCGACAGCTCTGGGAGGAGCTGTAGCCAAACGCTTTCCGAGTTTCCACGAGATTCGACATCAAAGTCGGCATCGCGAAGGCATGTTCAGCAACGGTGAATTTATATGAGCATTTCCCCCCCCTTATATATCCCGAGAAGAATAGAATCCCCTTGGACCCCCCAATAGGGTGCCCCTATTTTCGTAAACCCCCCTTATTTGTGGGTCAGCTGCTGCCTTTTTCTGACCCGGTGCGAAAGGCGACGGATCGAGACCTCTGCACCGTTGCAGAATGCTGCTATACGGTCTATGAGTCTACGGTGCTTTAAGTGTGGGTGGCTGTCAAAATCATGGTCCCTTTTGGGGGTCCCTTATGTAACACAGCACCTCATATTTAGGGTACCCCAAAAGGGATCATAATTTTGACAACCACCCAAGTCGGCTCTGAGGATGTCCAAAAGCAGCGACTCTCCTCGGAGTGCGGCACTTGAGGGCACACCCACAGCCCAATCATTGACAGAAGCTACTGCGCTGCTGCGCTCAAGAGGCAAACGTCACGGATCCTCCACGATGAGCTTTGGGCTACTTCTTTTCAAATGGCTTACATGTGCTTACATTCCCCACGACTTGTCGTGGAGAAAACGCCCCTGCAGAACGCAGACTGGTTCGAACCGTGTTCGGAACTCGCTGCGGAGTGTTGCTCCGCACTGCGAGCGACTGCAAGACGTCTTGCAGTCTCACCTTGCGGTGGGTTTGGAGTGTACCTGGCCCGGATAGTGGTTTGAACTTACACTGGACAATAGTGGTTGACGACGCACTGGACAATGAGATACGAACCTCATGGTAAGCGAGCCGAAAGCACTGACGCCGTTAGTCGTCACCAGAATTGAGCTCAACTCGGAAGCTGCTCAGCGACCCCTGGCGAGAAGGCTCAGAGATCTGGGGTTTTTCACAGACACACACACACACAGACAGACACACAGACACACAGACACACACAGACACAGACAGACACACAGACACCCACACACACCCACACACACACACACACACACACACACACACACACACACACACCCGCGCGCGCGCGCGCGCGCGACACCATGCTGGTAGCCTTCGGGGTGGTGTCGCAGCATTGAAAAGATGCCGGGGGCCTGCAAAAGCAGCATCTGTCACAACGTAGCTTCACGCTTCAACCCTGGCCCGGTATTCCGTGACATGATGTGACATGACACCGTGATCACAGCCCTGGCCCCCGAGCCTTTGCATTGGCAGTTGGCTACGGCGACTGTGCACCTCAAATCTCCGTCCCAAGCACAGCAAACAGAAAATAGGTGGGATCTAGTTTGCCGCCACTAGCCGGCCTGGCACGTTGTCTTGCACCTTCGATGGAAGGGACTTCACCTTCCCAACCTTATCCGAGCTTGCCTACTTGGTCACCAGATGGCAAGTCACAGGGACGCTTGATGCGCTAGGGCAATGGCCGCGTCCCCACCCGCCGCCCATCCGATTCTCGCTCCTTCCGGTGCCTGATGCTTGGAATTGCTAGTCTCAGATTTGCACAAGATGGCACACGCGAGCCTGAGCGGAGACACACCACGTTGCTATAACTAGCTGCGCGAATCCGACAAGTGACATGCTCGGCCCCTTTTATCCTTTATTCCTGTCTCATTTTTGGGCGGACACCAGTGGCGCCAGACATATCGGTGTGCCTCGCGCTCGCGCCCCGGTCTGGCCTAAGCAACACAACTCGAAGATGCTCGAACCTACTTGCCCCATACATTGTCACTAAATGTCACTAACTAGTGCACGTGCAGATCGCTGGAGCCTGTACGCTCGCTCGCATCAAGCAGACTGGCCCAAAGTGAGCAAAGTGCGCGGAATTGACTCACATCAACACCCACTTTCCATTTCGCACACCGTCTCTAGCAAATCGAAGGTTGGCCTACTGGCCCACTATGTACATTGGTGCAGCGTACAGTGTACAACTGCTGCTTGCGATTAACAAGGTCGAAGAACGTCAGCCCTGTCATATGAGAACCTTGATTGCGCACACAGCTTGTTTCCATGAAGCTGTGCGCACATGAAAATCTCCATGGTTTATCTTCTCTACATGCATCACAAACTCCGACAGCAATGGTACAGTAAGCGCAAGTGCGTGAGTCTCAGCGCATCTGTGCTCCCCTGAGCTCCCACTTCACTCCAAGACGCTGTGCCATCGGCCTCCCAGCACAGCTCCTCACCACCGACCTCTGCCCGGGGGTCATCCTGGCACATGTGGCACAGCACCAGCGTGCGCAACAAGCTTACCCCCCGGTGCTGCCAATGCTCCGCATACACTCTCTTTTGCTGGCGACATGTGAAGCATCGCGATCGTGAAGCCGTCGGTATACCAGAACTTCGGCTCTGCGCAGTCGAGTGCTAGTCGGCGCGGTCTCTTATGGCTTGTCGCTGCATGTTGTCGAATGCCGCATGTCACAGCGGTTCTTTCGAGGTTCGAGGTGCTCGAAGCTGACTGGGGCATCCAGGAACTCCTGCCTCGGGCAACGGGATGTAAGGGGTTGAGGATGGCTGAGGCACCACGACACCGATCCAACGTGCCATCACTCAAACAACTCAGGGCCGCTCCGGGACTTAGAGCTCCATCTTGTCCAGGATTGCTTGAAGCTCATCGTCATATTGTGTCCATTCCGGCGCAATTCGCCGCGCCTGTTGCAGCTTGCCTTCCTCGGAAAAGGCGCCCACATCACTCCCTCGCTACACAAGGCCAGAAAGGTACGTAAAGATGCTCAAATTGCGTATCACGCGGTAGCACGGTCTGCCGGCCCTAGACGGCTCCAAGGAAAACTAAGAGAACACAGCTTGGCCGGGTTGCTTTCTTTGAGGGATGCTGGCCTTGGCTGAACACACGGAAGTTTGTTCACAGGTTGAAGCGGCGGCTTTCTGACGTTGGGTCCGATGGCTCATCATAAGCTCATTTGGGGGTGGGCGATATTGGGGGGGGTACCTTATTGGGGTCCTTATTATAGGGGGATCCTACTTTGTGTATATTTGGGGTCCGTTTTCGCGTAAACCCCCAATTCTTGAGACAAGCAGCACATGTCGATGGTTTTGGCATTGCGTTTGGAGCTTTCACTGCACCAACTCTCACACCAAAGCCATTCTTGTGGCAAGCTGTAGATGGGCAGATTGTTCTGGATGTAGTTTGGCAGGTCCTGTCTCGTGCTGCTGAGAGCTTACTTTCCCTTCGGTCCTGGCGCAACGTGGAACTTGAGAAAGGGATCCAGAAGGGTCGGAACCTGATCCAAATTGGCCAAGCTGTGCGGGTCGGCCGTCAAGGACTGGTAGACATCCCGCAGTGTATCCCCTGCACCAGTTTGGCGGAACACCTGGCTCCAGTCAGCGACATGAGCTACTGCTGTAGAGATGCACCCTTGAAACATATTGGCTCTGTTTCCAGTCCGTTGACAGCCTGCCTCTAAGTCAACCACAAACAAGGCAGAGATGTGGTAGTAGTGTCGGCCACCCAAGTGATTCTTCCAGAAACCTTGCCTCAGACTCCGACACGGTAAAAAATTCTGAACTCATGCTTCGAACTGCACAGAATAGCAGTTCAAGTGAAGTCGCTCCCAAAATCGAAAGCCCACGGTGTCCGGATTCTTCAAGTCCTCCTGCTTTGCTGCCTGCAAGGCCCAGGCTATTGGAATAAAGCAGCGCTTGCCAAGACTTGCGCTGCGCATGCTCCGCACGAACTCCAGCCTTGCCAGTCAGGGACCCCCAAATGTGGCTTGTCAGGCTTTCTGGTGGACCAGATCCACAGAATGGGACGAAGCCGTACACGTGGCCTCAGGGGGGGGTGGGGGTAGGGGGCCGCTGAGATCCCTTGCCTTTTTGCACACTAGCTGCTCAGAGACTCAACACTTCAAGCAAGCTTCCTTTGATGTCCATCCTCCAGAGCTCCTCCACCTCGGCTTCGCACGGCTGTCATGCGCAGAGTCCCCCTGTTCTTTGAACTGGGCACGTCTTCGGATTCTGTCGCGCATCAGCAGTCAATTTGAGGGTCTGGCATTGGCGCGTACGATCTGATCTGCATCGATGAAGAGGATGCGCTTCACTTCCGCCGGGAAGAAGACGTCAAGAAAAAGGATCCTGCAGAGGACTGATGAAAGATCATGCTGTAAACTGTGCTTACGTCTGTCAACCTATTTTTCCGAGGATGCTTTGCCCACCAAGTCTCTTGTAGGCCCAGATCACACGCTGCTTCTGCGTTTGCTCTCGCCTGAGAATGCAGCGCAGCAGAAAGTCAAAGCAACTTTCCCACAAGACGATCCCTGCATACGCCCAGTCACAACCAGGTGGGCCATTTGTAGGTCACACGGCTGACGGCAAATCCGACCTTCTGTGCCAAACCAGGCAGAATCCGACGAAAGCGAGGGCTCAGGAAATTCTCCACAAGCCAGAAGCGCAGCTTGCCTCAACTTGTTTGGGCTGCTTTGTCATAGTTGGGTAGCATTTTACATTTTTAAGGGTACTTAAACCCAGTAAGGAATATAAAACATAATTTTGAATACTATCCCAACCATGAACTAGACTGGGACCTCCCAAGGACGCATGGAGCTGTGCATGCACCCGAGACGCACTTCGTGTGCTTGCGGACTGACATCATCATGATTCGCCTCGACAACACGCGTCGAACCCGTGTTTCCGGTACGCACTCCGAAGGCGAGCTTTGTTAGCGCATGAGTCATGCAGCAGACAAGACGGACTTGAAAGTCAGCAGGTCTCATCTGAGCCCTGGGCAGCAAGCGCTCGTAGCGAAGACCTGTATTTGTCCGACATTTTGATTTGAATCATTTGAATTCACGAAGAACTTCTGCAACCCTGACCATGCCTGAAGCTACACTGAAGATGTGGATTGTCTCGGAGCACTCAGCAGGGTCTCCACCTCCCCCTTCAAAGGTCTGCGTACTTTCCTCACAGCCCAGTGATCCCACTGCACATGCTCGAAGAAAGCCTTTGGCCGAACCAAGGAGACTGTCCACATGCATGCTAGTCTCGGTATCATTCGCCGTGAAGAAGTTCGCACGCGCATCCTGTTTCAAATGAGTTTGGCACACCCGCTCGCTGCAACAAATCGTCTCTGCATCTAGCGGGCGTTCTGGGGCCTGGAGAGGCCCTGAAACAGAAGCAGCCGGCCTCACCCGAGCCCGCGCCTATGCGAGCTTCGAGCAGGGAGCCTCTCCCAGCCAGGTCCTTGCACCAGAGAGCCGCTACCACGTCAGCCCAACCGGAAAGCACTTGGAAGCCGGACTGTGTCTAGCCAAGTGTCGGCCAGCTGAACAAGCCCTTTCGGCCGCAGCAGTTTCTCATCGCTTGAGCGTATGGATAGCTGATACCTCGAATAGCAGTAGCAGGACAATGTGACTGTGGATGTGCTTTGCCTATAGAATCGAGTAGAGGCTGCGGCTTCAAAACGGGGACAAAATATGATTCTCTCCGAGCTGCACACCTGGCTTCTGGCGTAACTGGAAGTAACCGCTTTTCACAACCTGGAGCACACGACGCTGCCAGATGCTGTGGCATGCAATGGTGCAAGTTGCCCAGGCCGGTGTGTCGGCACATTGCGGAATGCCAAGTTTGGGCACTGTTTTGGCACTTCTGCGCAGCATGACGACGCGGGGTCGTGATCCTCGTTACCGTCGTCGCTTTTGGAGCCTCGCATGTCAATGTTACTGAGCGCGTCGGGGTTGTGATCCTTGTGACTGTCCTGGCTTTTGAGCTTCGGCCTCGTTTTCGCATGTCAAGCGTGCCTCTACTCTGCCTTTGTGCCACATCCTCATGTCGTGTCTGTGTGTCGGTCGTGTCGCGTCGCCATCCGAGCTTGGCTCTTGTGGAACATTTCTGGGGTCCAGTTTTTTCAACGCTCATGCGGCAGTGCTCTCAGTGAAGTGCCATGTTCAAATGTGTGCGCGGAGTGTTGGTGAACTGCTGAAGGATCCGGGCCAAAGAGCAAAGAGCAGATCTACTCTGAGCACACGTGTGAGTCCATTGAGTGTGCAGTGGCTGCAGCTTCCGAGTTGTCCTACGAAGCAGTACATTGGATTGTGATGGGACGACTCCGACATACTGCACAACATAGCTCTGTCACACTCGGTGAAGCCAAGCGTCCACCGAGTTGCTGCCAGCCGTCTCGGCCACACCACGGAGCGGTGCCAGTGCGAGCTGTCGGCCAGTGGCTGGGCTTCCTCGTGCATCCTGCCGCTGTTCTCTCAAGCCCTTCTGTGAAGCTGCGTGTCTTAGCCTACACCACGTATCTCTACGTTGCAGTGTGCCTTATAAAAAAAACGTTCTCAACGTGCTGAATGGACTCCTCTGCCACGCCCTCCAAGAACAGGGCCTCCACTTCATAGCGCACGTGGACCTGCAGGGAGGCACTGCTGTGGACTGGACGAGGGCAGAGCGGCAGAACTTGGGAAGAACTACACCACTTTGCCCTGTAGAACCTCCTAAAACCGTCAAGATCCCTCAGCCCCTCAAGGGCGCCTTGGCACCCGGCGAGCCCCTTGGAGCATCTGCTGGGATGCTGTCCAGGTCGGCGCCAGAGTCCACTGGCGAGCACAGCCAATCATCCGGGGCCAGAAGCTGGACGCTCAAAAGCCTGCTGCCCAAGGGCGGTAAGTAGAGTCAGAGTCCGATAGGTTCTGATAGATTCAAACCATCACCGAAAGGGTGACAATGATTGGTGGGAGAACGGTGGCATGCATGGAAACCTTTGGTTACAATTGGTGCGTTGCCTCACTCAACTCACTCTGAGATATGAGGGGGGACCCTTTTGCATCCTGGAAGCTGACCACGCCGCGGTGGCAGCTCGATGCGCACCCCTTGCATGGCACCATTCCACTCTCCGAGGGCAGCGAGGCCGCCTCCGCTTTCTGCAAAAGCCAGGTAGGAACCCTGCAGCAGCCCCACACCACTTAGAGGATGCCTACACGGAACCAACCCAGCAGAACAGAGCCGCGCGAAACCCAGAGTGGCCAACAGGTGGTCAGTTGGCACTTCATGGCAGCGCCTTCTGGTGCCTTGGGCGTGACGGCTGCGCGGAAGTAGCCTGAATCGTAAATCGAAGGGCCAAAGACAATGATGCGTACTAGCTTTAACACCATCGTGCACCCCTTTGCGTGGTGATCAGATGTCAAATGAACGCAACTCTCGGAGTACTTTGACTTCGATCACGATGCATGCAGGTAGCCTGTCAGCGGAGACTCAGC